GGGTCATTTTAGTTTAGCATCATTTTTCTGAATCAGTTTTCATTCTGGTGAGGAGCAGATAATTTATTTGTTGATGAGTCACAAACTCATAATTTTGGTTCGGGCATGAACTTTTGTCTTTATAATTTATATCAAGGAAACTAATTATTGGAACTTGGTTGGGAAGAAGAACATTAAGTACAAGTTTGTTCTCCTTTGATGGGATTGTTCATCTCGCTAATAGTGAGTTGAGTATTTTATGCGTGAGAACATTTTTCGAGCAATTAAGGGCATGCTTTGCTCATGTTATATCGGGTTGTATAAGAAAAATGTTTAAACTTCATAATGCTGTTAAAGCATCAAGATCTTTCTTTTTTGGATTAACTAGGAAGATACACGCAGGTGATGTTAAATATATTGTCTTTTTTATATTGTATTTATATTTATTATATGCGATTTTTATCATTAATTTAATAAAAGATGGGTATATTCTATGATCAATCATATAAAATGTGTTGAACACTGAAATGTTGAGTGGTATTAATTGAAATCATGATTAAATAATAGTAATGATGAAATTTGTGTTGGAAATACATTAATGAAATTATGAAATCATGATTAAATAATAGTAATGATGAAATTTGTGTTGGAAATACATTATTTCCAATTAATACCATTCAACATCCAATTAATACTCTTCCAAAGAATACAAGAGAGCACCCATTTCAATCATCTCGTTCCTCATTTTTCATACAAAAAATCCAACTCATATTCGACGGGTTGATGGTCGATTTTTGACATCAACACAAATCCAAACTAAAATTGACCTAAATATAATTAAATTATTCGTTTGATTAATCGAGTTAATTAAATAATTAAACTATTTTATTATTATTATTATAAATAAATGGAGACATTCCTACAGCATTATAAATAAAATGTTCCTTTTCACAAATAAAAACTACAATATTCAGCCAGAGTAAGCTACGAAAATGTGACCAAAAGAAATTGTTTTACGAATCCTTCGTAACAGCAGGAGCACATAATGGTCGGTTTCCCTTTTCTGGCAGCAAAAACGGGGGAAGAAAAGATGGAACGACAAATGCGAACACCAAACAAACCAATACCAAAGCCACAACAAACCAAGCCTTGTGGGGAATGCCCAACAACAATTCATCACAAACTGCCATAAATAAAAACCCAATCTTGTCAGTGTAAACAGTATCATAATATTCTAAACAAACACAATTCTACAAAAAATTCATTCAAGGTGGAAAGCATGCCAAGGAACATGGTTTTATAATCCAAAAACTTCGTAGATGAACATGGTTTTATAATTCAATGGCCTAAGAGAGCTCCACAAGTTTCTTTTTTTTTTTTTCTGAAAAATGATGCAAAATACAAAAGAGAAAATGAGAGATAAAGAAGGTAGTCCTTAAAAATTATCTCACAAAGCATTTTTCACGTGCACACAACTTGGGGAAATTTCGAAGGCATGGTTATATATAAAGTAGGAAAAGAAGATTTCCCTACCTATATTGAACGTGATATAATCCCTTTCCTGTTTCCCGGGTATTGCGACAACCCCTTCTGGTTCAACATTCAATAGAACATACATTCTGCCCTGGAGCCAAAATTTCAGTAAAAAAAAATGGCCTTCTACTTAGAAGAAAACAGGGGAGGAGATTTTACAAACATGACAAAATACATTACCTGTTCAACCAATGACGGAATTTCGTCGGTCTTAAAAATCAATTTTTCAGTGTTGAGCAATTTTCTTCCTCGATTCAGACCTAGGTCAGAAGTACCTCTGCTTAGTTGCAAAGAGAAACTAGCAGGTATCTGTGTCAATTCATAAAACTCATTATCATTTTTTTTTTTTTTTTTTGTGGTACGTTAGAAGGTAAACAAAAATAAATAAATACATACGGAAGCAGGATATGATATCTTGACTTCATACCACGTACGGGGTCTCAATCCTCGCAATTCGTAGAGGCAAGCACCATTTTGTAAAATCAATGTTTCTTTGAACAGCTCCTCACCAACATGTAGGACTTTATGTAAAACATTTTCACTTACCCTGCCAGATTTCAGAAGGTATAAATATGCAAAGGAAACCATAATCTCAAAACATTGACCACTACAAAGATGTTTGCAAAATCCAAATAATATGCGATACTTTACTTAAATATAGTAATTATGTATGTGTGTGTGTGGGTGTGTGCACGCACGCATGTGTGCGTACGCTGTGTTATATAGAAAAACTCAAAAATGATGAAATGAAATGAGAAAGTGAACAAATAAATAAAGTAATAGTAAACATACCCTACTTAACTAGGACCTATTGAATCTAAAAAATAGAAAAAAAATAAAAATTGATTACCCATCCTCATCAACTATGATATCTTAACAGTTCTCTCATCATAAAAAAAATGACCATGTTCCAAGTGAGTATATATATTGTCGGTGTTTTGGTTTAGCCTAATGAAAAGTAAAAATTGATGAGGATGATGAACACTTCAAATGTCACGTCAACATATCATATTGCAGTTTATGTCATCACAACAACAATTTAAAACTCAAAACCAAATAAACAAAGAACAAAGCTAGTACAATGCTGCATTCCCAATTATCAAGTGTTCACAATTCACTTACATATTTCCATGGCTGAACATTGGCCCCCAGACTACACTGATTATCATGATCGGAAAGCACAAGCAGCATAACTTGAAGAATTTCATGTTTCAATTTGATCCAAGTATTTGTCCGGAACCTTTAGGTCGACAGCAAAATATTTCCTAACAGTACCATCAATGAAATGAAATATAAGTATCTAATCAGCTGGTATGCTAATGCAACAGCAACAACCTATTTTGACACCCCGAACAGGTTAACGAAAAATAATATGACACAAGTTCAACAGAACAAGCTAAACTTTAAAGAACCAAGGAACTACCGCAGAAGTTTATAACTAAAAATACAAACTCAAACTGGATTTAGCCAGGCTAGAAATACTAAGTCGACACAGAAGAGCTAGTCATGATCCGCCCTTCCTGTTGCACATCTGAAATAGTTGAAAACATGGATTGAGCCAAAGGGCTCAGTGGGGAGAGGTACGGAATGCATTATTTTCGAAAACATTTTTCCAAAATGTCATAGCGAGCTCAAATGATTTATAAAAGAGCATGATTTTTTTTTTTTAATAAAAGCATCAGAACGTGTAACATACAAGAATTTAAAAACAATAATAGCAAATTAAAATAAAAATAAAATCTGAAAATTATTTCTCGTTAAATTCATGCAACGGTTTCTCCTTTCATTATCTCAAGTAACTGCTCGACATTTCCTATTTCAAAACCCCAAAACGCAAAGCTACTCTCTCAGTTACAAGATCAGATATACATCTCCTCCCAAATTCATTTTCCTCTCAATTCCTATCAAATGTGAGTAAAGCAAATCTCACACAAACAACAATTTTCATCAAGCTCTTGTCAAGCCAAGGCAAAGAACAAATACCTGAGACTCTCTTCTTTTTACAATTTCCTGTTAGTCTATTGTTTTTATTTTTTTCCCTTTCAGTACATGTAATTGATTCGAAAGTACCTTACCCAAATTCAACGTCAATCACCTGAATCACGAACAAAAAAAAAAATAGATCCTGTTAAATCGTCCTTAGAACCCAAACCTTGATTCGGTGGCCGTCTTTTTGCCGGCTGCCGCTAGTAGACGGTGTTTCCCCTTAAGCCGTTTCAGTCGCAAGTCGATTGTATCCGTCTGGCCAAGCGGAAATATTCGAGAAATTTGGGAATTTTGGGGGCATGGATTGTCACTGTGCGATGAAGAGATAAAAGAAAGTAAGGGGTGAAAATTTGTCGTGTGTACGTGTGTGTGTGTGTGAATTTCAGAAGCAGTGCATGTGTGTGAGTGTTGCGTGAATCTATATACTAGGCAGCCTTCGGCTGTGCCATGCACGGCCAGCCCATGTAATGATGTGTTATTGACTTTTTCTTATCACTGTCCATGATTTATATAGCAAAAGCTTGAATGTATCTAGCAGAAATCAAGCAGATTATTGCATTCAGCTACATCACTGCTGGGGGTATTAAAAAGCCATTAGAACAACAATTTTTGTTTTGGCACGACAAACACCAGAATTGAAGAGATTCCTTACAACAGTACATTATGTTCCATTAGTACTAATAACATGCAAAAGGCGACGAAATACATTATACATAACCATGCAGTAAACCAGTATTTTGAAACATATAATCATCGATAGATGTCATATAATTTCAGTTTTGCCAGTAAAGGTTTAACGACATGCTTGGCAAAGGTAAAATGATGAGGTTATGCACAACATGAAAAGTTTAGTCCAAAAGCATTAGTTTTAGTTCGTAGTACACGAGACATAATGCATTAGGGGGCTGCAGTGTATTTTTCAAAGGGCTGTCTTTTTTCTTCATGTTCTGTTGTGAGCTTCCTTGAGTAAGAGGTTCTTTGACAATACCAATATTTATACAAACCTCATATATGAAAACTATAAATAATTTAATGAAAACAACATAGGATTTTCATGAAGGGAAAGCCAAAAAAGAAAAGTTTATGAACCATAAATCATGAAGAATTCATATGCACAGTACCTCTTGACTCTGTTTTGCTTGTAACAATCTTTGATCTTGTTTCTGCACACATAAAATAGAAATCAAAGGTTAGCAACTTAATGCTATACAGATAAAAAGCACATCTGCTTGAGTACCAAAGTCTTAACTTAACCTCAACAATATAATTACAGAATGATCAACATATTTTTTCAATAAAAAGAAATAATCGCAACATATAGAAGCACTAAAGTTAAGCATCAAGTATAATTAGTTCCCATAAGCGAAGGACCAAATATGATTTATTTTAACGGTGGTGTTGATGCTGTAAAGGCAATGATCAAGTTTGGTCTATTATCGTTAACAATACAAAGTTGTACAAAAGTCAAGCTGAATGAAAACAATACACCAATCCAAAGGAAGAACGGACAAAATGAAAAGAAAAATAAATCAAAACAAATAAATCAATAAAGTGCCTGTTGGAAGTAATGATGTGTTGGAACAGACTTTTAGGTAAGTCACTCCTTGAAGAGTCCATTTTAGGAAAATGTTCAGTGGAAAGTCCATTATATAGGAGTCGGTTGGCTCATGCATAAGCAAGCAGAGGATGAGAGGACTTACATTTATAGCCTTGAAACTGCGTTTTCCCTCAGTTTTCTCAGCACAACTTGCCAGACAAATTTTGGCTGTTAAACAAGAAATAAACAATAAGAGAACTCAAGGTAACCGACTAACCATCAATCCAAAAGATAATATATCAACATAAAAAAATTAGTAACAGCATAAGCACATTCTGGTACATATTTTCTTTATGTTATTGTGACTCAAATGAATTGCATATTTATGAGGAAACAGGAAAACAGACCACAAGAACATACTTAAGATATTGAAGCGAAGTGACTCGAGTACTTTGACCACAAACACCAATACTTACAAAAAGCATTTAAAGCCAATTGAAAACCTTTTCGTTTAACCCTAACAATTACTGTCTTGTCAGTGCTCGGTGGAGCCGAAGAACTCTCCACCATTGATGTTGGAAAAAAGCACAATTAGGTTAGGATTTATCCCTCATGAGGTTGAGCCTAAAGCCCCTATGTATCGGGCAGTATTTTGAACACCCTGTAGTGGAGGATCTAGGGCTGGATCAGCTCAATCGGGACGCCATTGATCTTGATCAGGCCACGTGCGCACTTGATAAGTTAGAATTTCGGAGGCTAGAAAAGAACTAATAATTATGAACTTCAGAGGCAATACATCCATAAATCAATCACTTTATTCCAATGACACCACACACACACACTCAGAATACAATTTTTCAGCAAAGCACCACAACGTATATCATTTCCACATAACAATGCAACTAAAATACTGCCAATATCATGTCAGAAAATGAATCCATCTGTTACAACATTACTAAAATGATGCAGAAAATCATCCTTGAGGGTGAAATAAATCAGATAGAAACTAGATAGTGTTGCTAAGCCAAAATATACACGGCAATTATGCAAACCAGCTACTGATTTTGTTGGAAAGCTATATATCAGTAAATCATAAGTAAAAAAAGCCCTTCTTGTTGTTGTTTTGTTAGTGGACACATGAATTGTATAAATTTATATAGAGCTACTTCGTAAACAAGAGATCTACATATACAACAACAACAACAACATAGCCTTTAGTCCCAAGCAAGTCGGGGTAGGCTAGAGATGAAACCCAAGAGAAACACAAAAAGACTCGAACCGAAAGGAAGAGATCGAAAAAAAAAAAAAACGAGAGAGAGAGAAAGGAGCAAAAGTCACGGTTCTGGCACGTTGATAGCGAGCCTCCAAGCGCTCCTATCCACCGCTAAATCCTTGGAGATATTCCAATCTTTAAGGTCTCTCTTAACCGACTCTTCCCAAGTGAGTTTAAGCCGACCTCTACCTCTCTTAACATCCTCGACCCGCTGTAGAACTCCCCTACGCACCAGTGCATCAGGAGGCCTCCGTTGGACATGTTCGAACCACCTCAGCCGATGTTGAACCAATTTCTCCTCAATTGGAGCCACCCCGACCCTATCTCGAATATCCTCATTCCGGATTCTATCCCTTCTTGTGTGCCCGCAGAACCAACGCAACATACGCATCTCTGCTACACTTAGTTGTTGGACATGTTGCCTTTTTGTAGGCCAACATTCAGCAACGTATAGCATCGCCAGGCGAATCGCCATCCTATAGAACTTACCTTTTAGCCTTTGTGGCACCCTCTTATCACAGAGAACGTCCGACGCCTGACGCCATTTCAACCAACCGGCTGCAATTCTATGCCTAACATCAGCATCTATGCCTAACAAGAGATCTACATATCCAATGAGATATAATATTACCATATCCAATTATAATATACTATAACCCTTCAATTTATCCTAAGATATGCACATTAATCCTGGATTAAACTTCATATTTATAATCCTCTTTCCTCTGAATCAACAACTGAACAGGCAATATATTTTTCATTATTATGTACCATGCCACCACTACATCCCACTTCAGACCAAGAATACCAAATGGAAGTCCCAAAACAAGGGTGAATACTCACATCACAAAAGTACCATACAAAATCAAAGTCATAATAAACAGTAAAGATGTAACGACCCGTTATTTTTAAAGTGAAAAATACCGTTTTATTTCTCTGAAAATCAGAGTAAATTTTTCAAAAATCGGGCGCTACTTGAAAATTCACATAACAACAGTTTAAGTCCACACTTAAACAACAAGGTACAACCATCCTGAAACAAATATCTCATGCCAAACAACACATGTTACGACAATCATGCAATATAATCAATATAAAGACTTAAAATCATGGTCGCAGTATGTATGCAAATCGACTAGTCTACCCTCCCTAAACGTGATCACACCTAACCTATTAATCCCGAAAAAAGATAGGAACAAGCCGCCACCAAGGACGGAAGCCGTCGCGTGGCGACGAGAGCAACCGCAGACGTACCGTACATACGGTCTAAGCTCTTTAAAGGCTAGAGTTAGGCCTCATAGATTACCGGTTCACATGCATACCTAGATCATCAAGCCAAGCATTTATAGAAATTAACATACATGGTATTTAAATCAACTCCCACCTGATACTACTGCAGAGGAGGATGGTGAATGCACATTCAAACAAGGGTGAGGACTCGACTCCTCTTAATCTACAATTAAAATATTTATCTTAATAATAAGGGCGAACAGGCAAACAAGCAAGGACAATTAAATAAAAAAAAAGCAAGGATAATTAAACACCTAAAGCAGATAAGGCAACAAGGAAATTAAAGTAATTAAGAAAGTTAAAAGCAAATAAAGCACATATATTTTCTAACTTTTAACTCTACTGAAACTGTTTTTTACTCATAAATAAAGTATAAACTCATGCCAAATAAAGTGATAGTTCAAAACATCCAAACCATACTTGGCCAAAAATGACTTAGTTCTCTCTAAAACAACTAACAAGAATCTAAGCATGCATAACTGAACTTGGCTGAATATTAGCACCTCCGAACTCATATTATAACAACATATTTTTATCATAATAACTGCACAAACAGAGGTTCGGCACATTCAATTAAAATTGGGCCCAAACTTTAAAAAATCAAGCTTTCTCTTTTCTTTCTCAAGTTCAAAATCACCCTTTTCTAACCCACCAATTGAACACATATAAACCTGAAATTTACTCACAGTTTCAACATGCTAACCATACAAAAAGGGGTCCAGCAATAGTAGGTAAACTCACGGCAAAACTAGCACCATAACCAATTCAAACTACTTCAGGCCTTAGAACAGAATCTATAATCTCTCAAAAGCATACAAAATCGCAGCATACCAACCATCTGGTCAAGGCACAACAAGTTCCAAATATATCAAGGCAACAACATGTATTTCATGAATCATGCTCAAACTCTAATAATCTAATCATGTTTATAAATGAACATTGAGCACAAATTATCATGAAAACACCTTTGCACTAACTGAACACAAATCAGCAGCCATAATCACAACTCAATCAAGTAAGCCCCAACACAACTCAATCACATCTTCCTGTTGCCACCTTAAGGCATGAATTCCAAATTTTCGAAACTGAAACTTAGCACCTGAACAACGATTAAAACTCGACCACTATGAGGTAATAAAGCTCGGCCAATATTACCTCTCGAACACAACGAACCACGGCTGATTGCGCGCGGTCTTGCCACGTACGGCTCGTGGCTGAAGCTTGCGACGGCTATAGGTGATTGTACTCCTCGGCTGAGGCCCTGGCTGTCCGTTCGCCTCGGCTCGGTGAAATATCGGGGTTGTGGCGGCCGGACGGCCACGAACAGGGGCTTGCTTCGACCCGCGGTTTCTGTCCGAGGTGGCTCGAACGACGGCTGCTGAGCAGCGGTTCTCCGAACAAAGGTTCGGTGCTCGAACAAGAGGTCTCGGTCAGCCGGTTACAGGTTCGCGAGAACGGGTTACAGGTTCGCGAGAACGGGGCTGAAGTGCTGCTCGTCGCGAACGGGAATTTGTGGGACGGGCGGCTGTTTGCAGAGGCGTCCTTAGGTGGCCGGAGCTCGCGGCTTCCCGGCGACGAACGGCGTGCGTCCTGCGATGGCGACGAGGAGGGTTCGGCAGGGGTTCTCGCGAGTCCTCGTCGATGGCAGAAGCTAGGACGCCGGCGGAAAAAAGTGGTTGATTTTTCGAGAAGACGGTGGCCGCCGGCGAATGATCTGAAGAGGAAGGGTGATTTTTAGGAGATGAATTTCAGAGATTTTGAGTGAGAGAGCTTTCTGATGATAGACGAATGGGAATCGCGATCTGAAGAAAAATATGTGAAAGACGGAGAAAGGGGCTCTCAAATTGAGGGAAAATTTAGATGCAGGCTTGATTGTTTATGCACTGTAGTGCAATTTTACTAGTTTTTAACTAGAAAAGTGGAGTGCTAATATTAGTTTTTTACTAGATGAGATTTTACTTAGGAGTGTATTTAATTAGGATTTTTAAGGACTTTTGAAGACTTTAGAAATCCTGGTGTATTCAATTTAGATTTGTTAAGACTTTTTAAAACTTTTAAAAATCCTGAGGTATTCAATTGAGATTTTCAAAAGTCTTACAAAATCTTGAGGTATTTAATTTTTTTGACACTAGGATTTATTAAGAATTTTTAAGATTTTGTGGGATTTCTAAACAAAAAACCTTATATGAAATCCCACTTAAAATCCTACCTCCGGACTTGAGATTTCATAGAATTCTTCCAAAATCTGAAAATCCTAGAAAGTCTCAAATCTCGAAAAGTCTTAAAATGTCAATTCAATCCTGGGGTATTCAATTCAGAATTTAATTGACATTTTAAGACTTTTCGAGATTTGAGACTTTCTAGGATTTTCAGATTTTGGAAGAATTCTATGAAATCTCAAGTTCGGAGGTAAGATTTGAAGTGGGATTTCATATAAGGTTTTTTGTTTAGAAATCCCACTAAATCTTAAAAAGTCTTAATAAATCCTAGTGTCAAAAAAATTAAATACCTCAGGATTTTGTAAGACTTTTGAAAATCCCAATTGAATACCCTAGGATTTTTAAAAGTTTTAAAAAGTCTTAACAAATCTAAATTGAATACATCAGGATTTCTAAAGTCTTAAAAAGTTCTTAAAAATCCTAATTAAATACATCCCCTTTTCACATTTTTTGCCTGCATGTACAGTGATTTGTTCGCCATAATGGTTGCAATGGCG